CGACCAGACGACAACTGTTCAGTGATGTCTCAGTGATCGTGAGGGTGTAAACCAGCAGCGAGCACCGAATGGTGAGAGGCACACTGAACCTAAACGTTATGTTGGAGAGGTCAGGTCTAATGAATTCAACGCTCCGTCACCCTTGAGCTCTAATCCAAAGTCCCGAAACTTTTCAGCTAGAGCTACGAAACAGTTTTCAGTGCCTAGAAGATTGCAATGCAGTGGACGATATGAATGACAAGCTCATGGAAACTGTCCATGGTGTCTGAGCTAAGTTTTGCAGGACCTGCCGCAGAAGAACACAAAAACTCTCCGATCACACTCTTAATCTCATGTCTGTTGGGCGGGATATGAAGGTGCAGTCTTCAGTAGATTTGACAGCATACATGCAACTGAATAGACAGATCTCCAAATGCATGCGGCAGGACTTACGCAGCTTTAGTACGGCTCGTATTGAAGTAGCGATCGAGCGGAACCAGGGCTCCAAAGTCTTTTCTAGAGATCTGTCTACCAGAAAGAGCCAACTATCGAAGCTGAAGACCGAGTGTGGCAGGTCATTTCCGGGACACCTGAGATTGAGATTGAGAGGTTCTATGGGCAGCTGTACACATCATCGTTGGAGCCACACGCAAGTGTGAGTAACCATCCAAGAGCAAATCTTATCCGACACTATTCCGATGTTATCCCGGACGTCAGTTTGAGCGAGATTAGAATGGCTCTCCAGCACCTTAAAAACGGCAAAGCCCCAGGCGAGGATGGAATTACAGCGGAGCTTCTGTAAGCGGGTGGAAAACCGGTACTTGAAGTCCTTCGGAAGCTCTTTAATTCCGTCCTCCATGGTGGCATTATACCGGAGGCGTGGAGCAGAAGTGCGGTGGTCTTGTTCTTCAAGAAAGGTGACAACGCTCTCTTGAAGAACTACAGACCGATTTCCCTTCTGAGCCGCGTCTACATGCTGTTTTCGAGAGTCATTACGAATCGTCTCGCGTGCAGACTTGACGACTTCCTGCCTCCCTGACAAGCCGGTTTCCGAAAAGGCTTTAGCACCATAGACCACATACATACCCTTCGGCAAATTGTACAGAAGTCCGAGGAGTACAATTTGCCACTATGTCTGGCGTATATGGACTATGAGAGCAGTCCCTTCAGCGATGCCAAGTTGACTGTCGGTATATCGAAGTGCTGAAGTGCTTGTACAGTAGGGCTACGATGGCTATCCGAGTACGAAACCTATTCAATTGCAGAGAGGTGTAAGACAGGGTGATGTTATATCCTCGAAACTTGTCACCGCTGCATTGGAAGACATTTTCAAGCTTCTGGACTGAAAAGGATACGGTATTAACATCAATGGCGAGTACATCACTCACCTTCGATTTGCCGACAATATACTCCTTATGGCAGAATCGCTGGAGGACCTAAGCAGTATGCTCAATGACCTCAAAAATTTTTCCCAACGGAAAGGTCTGAAGATGAACATGGACAAAACAAAGATCATGTTTAATGTCCATGTCACACCTATGCCGGTAGTTGTTGGGAGCACTAAGCTCGAAGTTGTTGACGAGTATGTTTACCTGGGACAATTAGTCCGACTAGGTAAGTCCAACTTCGACCGAGAAGTCAATCGACGGATTCAACTCGGCTGGGCAGCGTTCGGGAAATTACGGCACATCTTCTTGTCTGGTATACCTCAAAACTTGAAAACGAGTCTGTACAAGCAGTGCGTGTTACCAGTGATGACCTATGGAATTGAGACGTGGTCTTTCACTGCTGGCCGAATGAGGAAGCTCAAGGTCGCTCAGCGAGCTATGGAGAGGGCTATGCTCGCAGTTTCTCTGCGTTATAAACTTAGAAATAAGAATATCCGCAGTAGAACCAGAGTGACCGACATAGCCCAACGGATTAGTAAGCTGAAGTGGCAATGGGCCGGCCATATAGCTCGAAGAACCGACAAATGATAGGGAAAAAAGGTTCTCGAGTGGCGGCCTCTTACCGGCGGACGAAGTGTAGGGCGTAATCCCACTAAATAGAGTGACGACCTGGTAAGATATGCAGGAAGTCGATGTATGCAGGTGGCTCAGGACCGTGCATTGTGGCATTCCTTGGGGGAGGCCTATGTTCAGCAGTGGACTTGTGAAGGGCTGTAATGATGATGATGATGATGTACAACCGACTTCAATATAAATTATTAAGAATAACTCAAAAGCTAGTGATCGACCTTAATTTATATGGGACTACATGAGAAGCACCAGCTTTTAAAGAATAAAAAATCGTCAAAATCGGTTCACCCAGGAAAAAGTTATGAGGTAACACACATAAAAAAAATACAGTAGAATTGAGTACCTTCTCCGTTTTGAAGTTGGTAGAAAAATACTAAACACGAGATCCATAATGATAATGTCGAAACAAACAATAATCGTTATAACTTCAACAGTGGTAGAGCCACGTGGCAGCTTTTGCTGTCGAACGGATGGGCCGGCTCGAACCGGGGTGGTACCACGACCTCACAGAATACCAGCGTGAAATAGAGGTTTACCTCTGCGTTTCGCTTGGTGAGTGCAGGTGGCCGGAGGCCCTTTTTACTGGAAATGAGGCATTCCATCTTAGTCCTCACGGGTGACAACGCATCTGCATTTTGATTTGTAATAGAGGATAGATGTAGATGTCTATGGGCCGCAGCAACCACTTACCATCAGGTGAACTGTGTGCTCGTTTGTCACCCTTATCCTATAAAAAAAAACAAACCTTATAATTGAACAGTTTAAACTATTCACGCTATGGCTCACTCTATTTTAAGACATTACCAAGGAATGAAAACAAAATGTATTACACACCTGATTTCACAGCTTTAGAAGTTTACGAGAGGGAGAAAATAAAATCTCGGGTCGTTGGCCGCATGTAGATTACACTGCGTCTGATTAAAGTTTTATAGAGAATAATCAATGTTAACGTCTGAAACTGAAACTGATAGGACTTTGAAGTTACTGGGAATCAGGTGTATTACTTGGAACTGAACATTCATCACGTTAAGAGATCTTGTTTTTTTTATAAGAAAATCATTATTAACTACGATTTAATTTATGATTTACGGTCTACTGATCTTTTATGTGTATTTTAATGGGCGATTGTCAGTTAATATCTTTTATATGTTGATCTTTTTAGTCTGTAGCTGGATTATTACGGATAACACTTTTTAAATATGTTAATAAAACAAATCTTGATTTTTTTTTAAGTCGAAATTCAATATTTATAATATTAATAAGCATTTGGGACACAAATAGAAATAAGGAACGAAATAATACACTCATATTGCATGAAGTTTAATTATGTCCGAAGGGCTCATATCTCCATAAATGTTCCCTCGGTTTTAGAGCCTTGTGGAATATTTAGTAGCGATGGCAAGAGATCCGACGGTATGACATTGGTCCCAGTGGAGGTAAAGCCCTAGTGTGGGATGCTACTTGCGTAGACACTTTGCCGGCTTCTCATCTCAGGGGTACCTCGTTTAGAGCCGGGGCGGCATCAGAGGCAGCTGAACTGAGTAAGTGGCGCAAATATGAGTCTCTGAGAGATGACTACATATTTCTGCCATTTGCTGTAGAGACTATCGGTCCGTCGGATCCACGTGCGATGAAGTTCCTGAGGGACTCTATCCTCGACTGGTCGTTGCTGCTGGTGAAAGAGGGGTGGTTCTTTCATCGCTCAAAGGCTAAGTATAGTCATTCAGTGAGGACATGCAGCCAGCGTTCTTGGCATGATACCACGGGGAGTAGGACTGTATGATAATTAAGTTATTAGTTTTAGTTTTCTTTAATTATTATATTTTTTTAATATTGTATATAATAAAATTACTATTTACTTTATTACATTTTTAAATTCTTTAATTCCTTATGCATCCAAAAGCCCTATCTGATAACACATTATAGCAATTGCTTATAATAATAACAAATTATGTGACTAAAAAGTTACCCAATTATTTTCAATTTTTTAACTCTCTTTATGTATTACAATGACACAAATGGCTCATAATCCATTTGACGGTAAGTGACAACGCTTTCCATGCCATTCCAGGACGCCTGCGACCCAATTTGAACAATTAAAGCCGGAGATGTGTTGTCGCTCTTGAGAAGTTAAACGAATCCCTCACAGAATATAATCACGTTAGATATTATCTTATAAAAACAGTTTGTTGGTGAAACAACTGTATAAGATATTTTGCCTCATTGCACATTTATAGCCTAAAAATAAGGCATCCTTAGTAGACTTTTCTCTCTCTCTCTCATTCTCTCTCTCTCTCTCTATCTCTTTTGATCTAAATCTAAATTCGATTAAGAATCAAAATACATATGCATTGTCACCCCTGTGCACTAATATGGAATGCCTCGTTTTCAGTACATCCGGTTCTCTACACAGTGCTACACTCTCCGTACAAAATGCAGTAACATTAAACTACTATTTCATGCTGGTATTGTGTGAGAGCGTGGTCTTTCCCCGGTCGAGCTAAACCCATGCAAGATACAACCATAATATAGCTGCAGCATCCTATAGAACACCGTTGCTGGCTACTCTGCGCCTATGTTCGACGGTGACAAATTGGTTTCAAGTATATCAGGGTCACCAATAATAACCAATATTAGTCGTTATTGTGGAGAATTTCAACAAGAATCAAACATTACATAAACGTGGTAGAGCCATGCTGCAGCTATATTAGTAGTATATTTGTAGCACGTATGGGTCGGCTCGACCGGGGAAGGACCACGCTCTCACAAAATACCAGCGTCAAATAGCAGCTCAAGACTGCTGTGTTTCGTATGGTGAGTGTAGAGTACCGGAGACCCTTTTTACTGGAAACGAGGCATTCCATCTTAGTCCTCACGAGTGGCAACGCGTCTATGGGCCACAGCAACCACTTAACATCAGGTGGACTGTGTGCTCGTTTGTCACCCCATACAATAAAAAAAATCTTGGCAATGTTTTTAACTTGAACAATTTTACCATTCCAGGTTGCTGGTACGCGTTGTGGAGGACGTGGAGGATGGACAGCTCCGCACGCGACAGGGTTGGGTGCCCGCGCAGCTGCTTAAGGAGAAGAAACCTGAACGTGATCTGACAGCGCTGGCTGCTAGACGACAGTGAGTATGCAATCGGCTCCGTGGTGCAGTGGCTTAGCAATATATTACGGCGCTAAGGGCCACGGGTTCGATTCCCGCACGGAACAAGCATTTATATGGCTTACAAATAATTGTTCTGTGTAAATGTAAACTACCCCCACAATAAAAGTTAAAATCCTATTGTGAAAGTAACGTTTTGTAAAATAAGTGATAAAATTAAAAATTTTGTACAACCGATTTCAATATAAATAAAATGAGAACATTATCAATGTAGTCGAAGTCAATTAAATACTAAGGGTAACTTAAAACGTACTGGTCAGATCTTGATCAAATTTATATGGGATCACATGAGAAGCCAGCTTTCAAATAAAAAAAAAGAATTGTCAAAATCAGTTCACCTACAAAAAAGTTCTGAGGTAACACACATAAAAAAATACAGTCGCATTAAGAACCTCCTCCTTTATTTGAAGTCGGTTGGAAAATAAAAAAATCATACATCAATTATAAATATCTCCTGAATCGGATCGAAATACGGCTGCATCTATGAAACATGCAAAAAAGTAGCATACATGAAATCATCATTATTATCATCATTACAGCCTCTCATAAGTCCACTGCTGAACATAAGCCTCCCCCAAGGAATGCCACAAAGCACGGTCCTGAGCCACTCGAGAACCTTTCTTCCCCATCGGTTGTCGGTTCTTCGAGCTATATGGCCGGCCCATTGCCACTTCAGCATACTAATTCTTTGGGCTATGTCGGTTACTCTGGTTCTACTGAGGATATCCTCGTTTTTAAGTCTATCGCGCAGAGAAACGCCGAGCATAGCCCTCTCCATAGCTCGCTGAGCGACTTTCAGCTTCCTCATACGGCCAGCAGTGAAGGACCACGTCTCACATCCATAGGTCATCACTGGCAACACGCACTGGTTGAAAAATCTAGTTTCGAGGTTCTGCGGTATACCTGACGAGAATATATGTCGTAATCTTCCGAACGCTGCCCAGCCGAGTTGAATCCGTCGATTGGCCTCTTGGTCGAAGTTGGACTTACCTAATCGGACTATTTGTCCCAGGTAGACATATTCGTCAACAACTTCGAGCTTAGTTCTCCCAACATCTACCGATATAGGTGTGACATAGACATTAAACATGATCTTTGTTTTTTCCATCTTCATCTTAAGACCTATTCGTTGGGAGACACTATTGAGGTCATTGAGCATAGTGCTTAGGTCCTCCAGCGATTCTGCCATAGGAACTATATCGTCGGCAAATCGAAGGTGAGTGATGTACTCGCCATTGACGTTGATACCGTATCCTTGCCAGTCCAGTAGCTTGAAAACACCATCCAATGCAGCGGTGAAAAGACATTCAGGTAATAGATATTGATAGCTAAGGATTTTAACATTGCATAAGAAAAATTTCGAAGTGTTTGGTTTACTCTATTGTAACGCAATGCCTTAAATGAACTAACGACAACGCAGGCTAAATCACGCTATCGAATTTTTCCAATGACTTCTGTATATATAAAGCAAACTTCGTACTACCATGTACTTTACATACACATACTTCGTACGTACGGAACTTCGTACGTTACTTCTGCAGCTCATAAACACCTGCAACTAACATCAAATAAAGACTACATATACATACAGATGCGTTGTTACTTCTGAAGACTAATATGAAATGCCTCACACTCTGTAATTATACTGGTTTTCTATAGCCTGCGGACTGGAACACAGCACTAAAACTACCGCTATTTAGCAGCAGATATAGGTAACCACCCAGACGATCTCCTGGGCAGAATAGGACTGCTAACACCTAGTATATCAAAAAACTTTACACGTAAACACCAGGTGTATAAATATCGATCATAAAATGATACTGAGAACTTCTGTTGCGCCATTTACTGCTAGGTTATGCCCACTTTATAAAACAATTCGGCTTGAGTATACACCTAACTAACAAGCCCATCGTAAAATTGCCATACGATGAGGAAACGCAGGTCAGCGCATTCTGCCAAGATGCTTAACGACATCGTAAAACGGGCGGTGTTTTGCTGGCATCAGTTTGGCCTAGAGCTTATGGTTTATATTTTTCAGAGAATTTGATTCTACTGTAGTCGTTTAATTTACAATAAACTGCTAAAAATACGATATTTAAAACATTTTAAACGTCTGTTTAAAATAAAAGTTGCGACTTTTTTAGAGCTTTCCTAATCTTTATACTTTTTGCTAGTTTCCTTTTTTTTCTATTATCAGCCAGTGGTTGACCACTATCCCACTTGATGGTAAGTGGTTATGCGCACTGATATAGTTTAACTAAAGCCTATTCAAAGATAGAAGGTGGCATATTATTCCACTCCTTTGCTGTAGGCATTATGGACAACGAAGAGAACCATTTGGTTCTGACGTATGGTATATCGATAAAAAGGAGTGGAGACGGAGAGGAATAGAGACACACACACACACACACACACACACTAAGGCTGGTTAATTTGCGGTCGTACTGTGGCTGGTGAGATTGATCTCCGGTTCTCGTAAATCACCATTAAAAACATACAACAATCTTTCAGCTATTTTACGACAGTAGCCTGGGTGAGCGTGATGTTTCCTCCGTCGAGCCGATCCATTCGTGCTGTAACTTCGGTCTGTAGCCATATTATAGTTGGACCGTGGTAGTCCCATTAGTCAACTTGCGATAGGAAATTGTACAGTTTGTCCAAGAAAGCCCAGAAAAACATTATTAAAATATTATTATAATTTGGAAGTTATTTCATTGCATCTATTTGGAATTTTAAATTGAGACCACTGGGGGCCTAAGGGTGCTTTTCCACTAGAGATGTATTTATTTATTTAGATAGATACACCATCGACAATATCAATATGCATTGTTACAAACTAAATACAAAATTTCTAGACAAAGGGGTCTTTACAGGTCTATGCATCGTTATATGAAAAAAACTAAACAACATACATATAAACTCTAAACAAACAGAAATCAAACTAATTGAGCAAAAGCACCACATTCAGTAAAAAATTGCAATAAATAATAGTTTAGAATCATTAATCGGGCAAGGTAGGTAATAGTAAGTCTTTACATTTTCTTTTGAATACACGTTCGGGGTAAAAATATATGTTTTTAAATGGATGCTCTGGATGCGTGCTATTGATGCGTGATTTGAATGGTCTCGAGTGGTGTAGCTATGTGCAGAGGAGAGCTCCCCGTGCCTTCCCTACTGTCGAGACATCGCATAGCTCGAACTGCACATATTCCTCGCACAGATACAACGCGGCGGTGCATCTTCATAGCACATCTTACTCGCGCAACAACATAACTTAACATCAGTGGAAACGGTCACATATATGTAGTTTCATAAATAACTTTCACATCCTCGCAATATATCTGCATAGCACATCTATGCACCCTAATATCACTTATTACTAGGGCTTCATATCATATTAATTATATAATTTGATTATACAATATATAATGATACTAAGCTACAATATTACAAACTATAATATTAATTTAAAAAAAAAACTAGAAACTTAATTATCATACAGTCCTACTCCCCGCGGTGTCGTGCCAAGAACGCTGGCTGCGTTTCCCCGCTGAATGGCTATACTTAGCCTTTGAGCGAAAACAGATCCAGCCCTCTTATCACCAGCAGCAACAACCAGCCGCGGATGGAGTTCCTTTAGGAACTTCACCGCACGTAGACCCCACGGACCGATAGTCTCTACAGCAAAAGGCACAAATATGTAGTCATCTCTCAGACTCATATTTGCGCCACTTACTCAGTTCAGTTGCTTCTGATGCCACCCCGGCTCTAAACAAGGTACCCCTGAGATGAGAGGCCGCCAGAGTGTCTACGCATGTAGCATCCCACACTAGCTTTACCTCTCTCCCAAGGGACCAATGTCATACCGTCGGGTCTCCTGCCATCGTCTCTAAATATTCCACAGGGCTCTAAAACCGAGGGGACATTTATAGAGACAAGAGCCCTTCGGATGACATCGTTCAAACAACTGTGTCGTGAAAACCTACCAGTGCTTTTCTTACATGAAAGTCCGTGGAGCCCAAACTTGTCGACGCTGCTACCACAGGGGCACTGATGGGGTTGACAAATCGCCGCTCTTAGTCGGATTAAATATTAATATAAAACTAATTTATTAAGCAAAACTTGAAAATGAGGGTGTACATTGTGCAACCAGTGCGTGTTGCCAATGATACCATATAGTAATTTCTTATATCTACGCGAACACTACACATTGAATAAAACTACTTGTACGGATTTTATCGCGTTTAATTAAGTTATTTTATATTCCCGACGTTTTGGTTGCTTTCCAGCAACCGTGGTCACGGGGGACTGAGGTGATTGACGTCCCGATGTCAAAGTTAACCCGGAGTACCTTCAGCTTTTTAATTATTAATTTTGGTCCGATCTAAAGCAACCGAAACGTCGGGAATATAAAATAACTTAATTAAACGCGATAAAATCCGTAAAAGTAGTTTTATTCAATACCATATAGGTTTGAGACATGGTCCTTCACTGCTGGTCATAAAAGGAAGATCAATGTAGCTTAGTAAGCAATGTAGAGATACGCAGAGATATGCTGCTATACAAAGATAGTACTTCAATTGGTCACATGTTGAGGCTCCTTCCATGTTTTGAAAAAAAGGTGAGTTGTGACGGCTTATAAAAATTCGTTCAATGAGTTCAATTTTAAAAAGACTGCAGATTTTATAAGACTTAGAGTTACCGTGTTCCCAGTGTCGTAGCATGGGTCCCGCAGCCAGGGCCGCAAGACAATGGAAAATGCCCATGTTCAGCTGTGAATTTCAATCAGTTGGTAAAAAAAGAATAGATCGGTACGTCTAAGTCAACCTAGTGTGCAGGCCTCTTTAGACACCCAAATCGTCTCGTTTATAGAGTACTTTAATTTATGCGGCCTTAATAATTTTTTCGGGCCGGCATTAAATGCACTTTGGCAAAGCACTGCTAATATTGCGAATGTTTAC